ACTAGCGCTGCAGGTTGTTGTGACGGTTGGGATTGTAGTCCTTATTGATCACATGAAATTTGCTTGCTTGCTCTTGACTGCCATTTTACTAGGGAAATATTGCTTGCCGTTTTTGGGTGTTGCCGCTGACGTGAAGTGAATTCATGACTGAGTTGCTCAAATCATGTCGGAACAAGTCGTACAGACGTACATTACCTGGACCCATGGAGCGCAGCCGACGTGGTTACAATTTCACGGACCGGGAGCTCTACTTGACAGACCCATTCGGCAGACTACGTCACCTCCGCCCCCACCAAGTTTCCCACTGCTTCTTCCACCTCCGCCTCCTCCACCGCCACCACCACCGGTGATTCTACACCCACAGTTTATGCCCTCAGTACGGAGCCCCTCGATCTCAGCTCCTCGCGGACAATCCTGCCCTGCCACTCGAAATCGCAGCGCACACGCCGCTCGATCTACAGCACTGACCATTCCCGTGATGAAGAGCTACGCAGTCCAGGGCGCTCATCCAAACGATCTCGGACAGCATCCGCTTCGGCACCGCGGAGATCTCGGCGGCCCTTTACAGTGTTCCCCTCCAAACGTGCTGGCCGTCCATCGCTGTCCCCATCGGCAAATTGCAAGCATTACTGTCATGCCATCCTGCGCCATGGGCGGAAATGTCTTTCCCCTTGTGATCGTAGACGACCAGGACATTACCATTGCAGGTGTGCGCGGCATCAACGGCGGTGAAGCTTAGGAGTCGTATATTACAAACCTCGCTGCTGTGTCTCACCTTGAGTTTGAAAAGTTGCCTTGCTTTCCTTCAGCTGTGCGCGGTTGTCATTGCATGTGTGTCTTCGCCGCAGATTTTCGATTGCTTTTAGCGGCCGCGCGAGAGCCTGTCTTGCCGCTATGAACCCTCAATATTTCGAGTACCAGATCGACAGAGGAGTGGAATGGATTCGAATTTACTCACCGGGCACGTGGCGACCCGTTCCCGATGATGCTCCAGTGCTGGACCCACTCTACGCTTCCACGTATCGGGAGTGGCGCAGGTCATATCGCTTCCAAGTGTACTGGTCCGAAGACAGCACCGGAGGCACAACAACGGATCCCATAGTCACGCCCAGTTCCTATGTGTCCTACCACGTGTGGGAGTACCGAGACTGGCAAACACGAGGGTATCAACGACTTGGAGCTCCTTTACCAGCCATTGGACTCGCGATGCTCGTGAATGCAGACGCCAATTCCTCGGTGGGCTCATCGGTGCCGGATGGGGCGTGGCGAGAGCCGTCGCCACCACCATTCTATGATCCTTGGAACGATTCGGAGTGACACTTGAGTAGCATGTCGGATAAATGACGCGGTTGTGCTTGCTTTGTATGCGATTCCATGTTGGGTTGTCTTGCTTGGTGTTGTGCGTTCCGTCTCCATGTGTTCGCCGCTCTCCTTTATGACTTCGAGCGGCTTGCCTGGTTGAAATGTTCAATTGTACAGTGTATGGCACAGCACGATGGGTCCTGCCTCGCTACTTTGACTACGACATCGTCAATGGCCCAGCGAACACGAGTGTAGAATGGATTCGGATCTATGTACCGGGTCCGTGGCATCCAGTCGCCGCGAACACCTTGGGACCAGCCCCGGATGACTCAACCACCTATCGGGAATGGCGCAAGGTCTACCACTTCGAAGTGTATTGGCCGAGGGAAAGCACAGGCGGCACCAATACAGGTGCTGTTTCGCAACCGGTATCTTATGCATCCTTCTATACTTGGCATTATAGAGACTGGGTCACCAGGGGATACCAACGTCTGGGTCGCCCACACCCTAGCATTGCGCGGCCAGTTTTCGCTTCGGGCGCACCGGACCTCATGTATGCTGGATTGACCTCTTCATCGGCATCCTCCAACTCAGATGATGGCTGATGCTCGTCCTCGCCTTCCTGGGGAGTCTGTTCAGTTCAATTCGATTCGGGAGATTGTCTTCGATACCGGAGCCGTGCATTGCTGCAAAAGTGATTTCTTGCATTGTGGCAGTTGTTTCTCTTTCAGTAATAGTTGTCTGCAGCCGTACACCTATCAATTTGTCTTTCCGGGTTTGCGTTGTCATGCCGTGGCTGGAATGGTGTCCGGATCCTCAACAACCAGATGCCCAGTGGGTCAAGATCTTTCATCCGGGATCATGGACTCCACATGAAGAACATGATGCTCCACCTCCACCGCACACGTATAGAGAGTGGAGGGAGTTCTATGCTCCCAACCCGGACCCAGTCGGTGAGCAGCTCAAAGTCACCATGTGGTACAAAAGAGACTGGGCCACAGAGGGCTATCGGAGAGTCGCTGCCCCTCAAGCTGGTCATGACTTTGATTCTATGTGTTTTCCTGATCATCACAGCGTGGCCACGCAATCCGCGGCATTGAGTATGTCACCGCAGCTGTTAGAAGCGATCCTCAGGTCCTCGGATGCGGCGGATTTCTCTACCGAAGAACTGACTCGTCTCCAAGAGGGGATTTCTCAACAACTGACAGCTCGCGCACGTCACGCTTCCCAACCTCATCAACCAGTACGTGCATCACGTGGAATCACACCATCGGAGACGGTTGGGGTCTCCGAGCCATACCGGCCTGTTAATCCTTCCGACAGCGGCAAAGACAAGGCGAGTCCCATCTTCGAGCTAACTGAGGACTAGACGCACGCGAGTGGGTAGTGTACAAAATAAGGGTGGTTTTCACACTTTCATTACCTTGCTTGGTTGTTGCTTGTACATGGTTGTGCATGGTGCCTGTTCCTCTATCAGCTGGATCGGAGCCCGCGACACGCCTTGCCTCTTACTTCGACATGGACATCGATGATTCGAAGCAGCACCCATGGCTCGAATACTCGGTCTGGCAGGATCAGGAGTGGGTGCGGATCTACACTCCAGGACAGCCTCAGCGATGGCACCGCGGAGAAACTGTACCTGATCTACCAGACAATTCTTTTCGGGAATGGCAGCGGGTGACTGATCCCAATGGGTTCACTGGTGAGCACGGTCAGTCATGGAACATCCGCGACTGGCAGCATCAGGGATACCAGCGCATTCTGTCTCGAATGGAGTCCTTCACAACTCATCATTCGCATGATCAATCTCTTGGTCAAGTCCGGAATTCCGATGCCATTCCAGTTGAGGAGACGTTCACCTACGCCACCCCGTTTTCTCATGGTGATCGCCAGGCTGCTTCACAACTCGCTTCAGTCCTCTATGGCGACACTCGTAATGCTCAACGTGGTGATCTCTCGTTCCCGTCTTCTGAGCGGTTTAGGGCTGTTTCTCGTTCCCCTCGCCGCGGTGGATTTTTTGGTCAACGATAGGGACACGGGTTTGAGCATGTGATCTTCCTGCAGAAAAGGAGAATCCTCGCCCCTCATTGAGGGGCGTGTGTGTGCGGAGTGACAGAATGCCCTGTCACCACCCTTTCGGTTTTTCAGCAGGGGGCTTGAGGCTTCTCATCAGGACTCAGGCCAACGAAGACGCCTGATGAGAAGTGTGATGCAATCCGGGACGCTGGATTGTGTACCTGCATCGGTTGTGCAATGTCCATTTGGCCCGTTGTTTCTCTCGCTGTGTGTGCTTCATGTTGAACCTTGTAACGTTTTCGCAGCTAGACGGAAACCATGTGACTGCAAGCCGAACCTTCACCTACTCGAGACTCATCAGTTGTACTCGAGACTCATCAGTTGTACTCTGCAATGGGTTTAACAAGTAGAAACTCATCAGTTGTACTCGAAAGATTAGCACTCTCCATCTGGAGTTCAAGTGTGTGCGTGCGTGTGGACAGATTTTGGGTTAACTTTCCTGGAGGTGGGGTAATGCTTGAGGTGGAGTATCGCGAGCCTTGTCTGAAATGTAGATTTCAGAGGGGACGTTTGCTGAAGTTTGGAGTTTGCAGGCTTCCGGGCTTCTCCGAAAACATCACCCGGAGAAAATGCGAGCAAAGGAACCCTAAAGGGGGCGTTCAAGGAGGGTGGTCCAAGGGGGGTCCCCGAAGGCCATGACTCCACGTCCCTTTTAAGGCGTGCCTATGTTTTGAGAGATATCCATGGTCAAAGACCCACTTGTTGTGACGGATCGGTCATGGATCCTTCTATTGGGACCAAGACCTGCTCGCGAAGAATTTGTCTTTGAGGACGTCCCTCACTTGATTTGCACCAGTCACAGAATTATACCAAACTCACCTATGGAGAGAACGAGCCACTCATGATGACGATCTTTCCTGGAGACTACTTAGGTTCCTGGCAACTCCTTGTTGCTGGCGTGGGAATATAGTAAGTGGCCCAGATTGATTTCTGGCACGCATCGTTTCCATCTGCTGCGCAGGTCTTGTCGAAATCCAGCCAGGTCAGATGAAAGCCAAACAACGGCATGGAATCCCCCAAAGCAATGTGTCAACCCAGTTATTCGATGTCACCTTTTGCCTGTTCCTTTCTTTTTGGGTCCCCAGGCCCCAGGACCTCTCCCTTGTCAAAATTCGGGCTTTGATTTTCTTAGACGAGGTGCGACTGGAGCGTTCCCTCGGCACACTTCATCGCAAAAGAATCAGGAAGGACCACCAAAATCAGGCATCAACCCAAATGAAGAGCCAAGCTTGCCTGGTCTGACAAACTTGAAACTTGTGGCTGGCAGGTGTCGTCACATCCCAAAAAGTTGAGACCTTGGAGGTTGAACTGAGGGGGAGGCAAAACAAAATGGGGGATTATCCCATAGATTGGAGCCTGGTTTGGACAGACAGATCTCTTGATCTATCGAAACTAAGCCAAGCCTAAAGAAGTATGCGCTAGAGTATTTGAACCCTCAAACTACTCTTAGCATTAGGACATTGGCTCAAATAGGTTGTGTGGGTTCAATCATCTATGAGGACAGAAAAAAGGGTCCAGGTATTGTTGGTCACCTGCCAGGTATGAGTCTGGCCCAGGCTCAAAAGTATACAGGGCTCAAATGAGAATCTTCCCATCCAGCACCCGATCCCCGATGGCCGGTAATGGGCGTCCCGGGTGAAGTGCCGGCAATTGACCACTTGCTTAAAAATGGTTGTGGATCTAATTTTTTCCACATTCCAAAGCAACCAACGGCGCACAGGACAACAACTCGACCCCTTTTTTAGGACAGGTTTGAAGGGAGCCCCTCACAGAAATCACCTCGACCCAGGTACCCTCAAAAAACGACACACCCTTGCAGGTCCCTTATTGGGCTCACTTGCCCTTATTGCCCGACCGTTTGACCTTTGGGTTTTCTCACGTTCCATTTTTAGTGGCAGAAGGGCAACCTCTTTGCAGGGCTCACTTCCTGAGTTGGTGGACTTTAAACTTTTTGGAAAGACCATTTTAGTGGTAAATAAAAAGTTCAAGCTTTTTTTGGGCCATCCACTCAGCCAGTGAGAGGGCCTTTTTTGCAAAGCCTGGGATCCACGGCTTTTTCGTTTCGGACGCGTAAAAAATCGCCGTGTTTCTCCCTCCAGGCGAAGGCGCGCGGCCGCGGCCGCGGGAGACCTCGGAAGCGCCCGGAGGCCGAGGCGCGCGGAGTGGATTTGTGGGGAGCCTGGAGCCTTCTTGTCAATGTGAGTTGATCTTGTGCTTCCATTTGGTTCAGAATATTGTTGATTCTCCCCTGTTGGTGTTACAAGGAATCGATTTCACCCCTGGACATATTTTCTTATTTTTTCCAGGGATTTCAGGAAATGGAGGTGTGGGTTTCTCAAAATGGGCATCCATCCCGGTTGGGCACTGGGGGCCTGGGTACGCGACTTGGTACGCAGGCACCGCGGTGTTCAGAGCCTGAAGAGGCTGAACTTCCGCCCCGGCCGCAGCGGGCAGAGCCTGAGGCACGGACGGCTCGACACCTCACCTGGGATGCGACACACTGGATACATGGCCAGTTGTTGGGGGGCTTCTACCTGGAGCCCGAAGCATCCGTTTTTTAACAGTCGTAAGAACATCCATCATCAGTTCCGGTCGTTTGCTGCAGTTCCGGCCGTTTGGCCTGATCACCATTTTCTGTATTTCGTGTTGGGCATATCCTTTTCAGCCTCGATTGACTTGCGTCTCTGCAAGACTGGCACCAACCCTTCCCGGCCAACCTGCAGGGTCTCAAGCGTGCCGCAGCAGTCTGAAATGCACTGATCCCTTTGTTTTCTCTTCTAGGCTTTCATGCAAAAGGGAAAGGCATGGAGAAGGGGGCTGCGCGAACTGCACACTTTCAAGACCCTTCGGTTCCGCGGGCAGAGCCACATAGGTGTACCGCCAGCATCAGCAGCATGTGGGGTCGACGAACATTGTTTATCACCCCAAAGCCCTGGCGAGAACACTATAGTTGAGCGGCTTTGCCAGTGGGTCAAATCACTCTTCCCTCACGCACCCAATGGGTGTCTTTCAGGTGGTTTCCCAAACAACCCTTTCCAATCTTTACAAAGGAGGCTTCTGCTGGTAAAAAGGAGTGGTCGCCCCAATGGCCCCATCCAAAAGGAACCGAAAACCCATCAATTCAGAAACAGTTGTTTGCACGGACGGTTCTGGTTGTTGCACGCACGGTTCTGGTTGTTGCACGCCTGGTTCTGGATGTTTCCTGGTTTTGTCCTTCGCCAGTTTCGGCCCGAAAACGGGTTTTCGGGCCGAAAACGAGCCGAAAACGGAAGACAACGGGCCGAAAACGGGCCGAAAAACCGCCCTCCGAAAATCCAATGTTCCCCCCGCAAAAAAAATATCGAGGAGTCCGGCCGCCCAAAAGCAAGCCTTTTTTTAGGGTGCCCTTTCTTATAATGAGGAAGGTTCTAAACCAAGGCTAACACCATGAGTGGACAGAAATTTGCGTCTGCGTCGTTTTTTGTTTTGCTGCTTGGTTCCATGGGGAAAGGGACAGGTCTGTAAAGCAAGCCAGGCGCACTGGGCAAAGGCTGTGAAGAACACATGCATGCAGCTACACTCATTATGCTCTGATCTGAAGTGTCATAACTGTATAATTAGCAGTGGCTTCTCGATTCTAGATTGTGCACATGAATGCTCACGGCCATTTCTGGTTCAGCCAACTGGAAAAGATGGAAAGAAGACAGGCCTGGCAAAGTCAAGGCCGCGTAGGCTAGGGATTTCGAACCGGTTCCGGTCGTTTGCCTCAGAAGTGGTTTTTGGGCCAGCACCTGCTTTGAAACAGTCGTTCAAGGCCCAAGGTAATCTATGTGTGCGTGTGTATATATATATACATTATATGTTATATATACAGTATATATATTATATATATATGTATATATTTTTTCTTCCAGTTGTTTTATGACACTGTCCTGAACCTCAAAGCAAGAATTTATATTCTGAAATGGTGCGCGGCACCTGCGCGCGCGCGCGCGTGCGTGCGTGCGTGCGTGCGCGCGCGCGTGTGCGCGCGCGCGCGCGTGTGCGTGTGCGTGTGCGTGCGCGTGTGCGCGTGTGTGGGTGTGTGTGTGTGAGTGCGTGTGTTTGTGTTGGTGTTTGGGTGTGTTTGCGTGTGAGTGTGGGTGTGTCGGTGTGTGTATATATATATATATATATTATCAGTACTGTTATTACTATTATTATTATTCTGTTATTAGTACTATCATTATGATTATCATTATTATTTTTATCGTTAGTATTATTATTTATTATTATTATTATTATATATATACACATGTTCTTCCAGGTGTTTTATGGCACTGTCCTGAAGCTCAAAGCAAGAATTTTTATTCTGAAATGGTGCGCAGCACGTGCACGTGCGTGTGCGTGTGCGCGTGCGTGTGCGTGTGTACGTGTGTGTGCGTGCGTGTGTGAGGTGTGTGCGTGTGTGTGTGTGTGTGCCTGTGTGTGTGTGTGTGTTTGTGTTGGTGTTTGGGTGTGTTTGAGTGTGAGTGTGTATGTGTGTGTCGGTGTGTGTGTGTGTCGTTGTGTGTGTGTGTGTGTTTGTCTTTGTGTGTGCGTGTGTTTGTGTTCGTGTTTGTTTGTTTGATTTTCGCGTTTGTTTGTTTGTTTATTTGTTTGTTTGTCTGTCTGTTTGTTTGTCTGTTTGTTTGTTTGTTTGTGGTTGTGGTTGTGTTTGTGTTTGTGTGTGTCTGTGTGTGTGTTGGTATGTTTGTGTGTGTGTGACTTTGTGTTGCTCTGCGTGTTTGTGTGCGTGTGTGTGTGTGTGTGCGCATGTTTGTGTGTGTTGGTATGTTTGTGTGTGTGTGTGTGTCTTTGCGTTGTTGTGCGTGTTTGCGTGCGTGCGTGCGTGCGTGCGTGGGTGGGTGGGTGTGTGTGTGTGTGCGTGTATTTGTGTGCATGTGTGTGTGTGACTTTGTGTTGCTGTGTGCGTGTGCGTGTGCGTGTGCGTGTGCGTGTGCGTGTGCGTGTGCGTGTGCGTGTGCGTGTGCGTGTGCGTGTGCGTGTGTGTGTGGGTGCGTGCGTGCGTGCGTGCGTGCGTGCGTGCGTGCGTGCGTGCGTGCGTGCGTGCGTGCGTGCGTGCGTGCGTGCGTGCGTGCGTGCGTGCGTGCGTGCGTGCGTGCGTGCGTGCGTGCGTGCGTGCGTGCGTGCGTGCGTGCGTGCGTGCGTGCGTGCGTGCGTGCGTGCGTGCGTGCGTGCGTGCGTGCGTGCGTGCGTGCGTGCGTGCGTGTGTGTGTGTGTGTGTGTGTGTGTGTGTGCGTGCGTGAGTGTGTGTGTGTGTGTGTCTGTGTGTTCCTGTTCGTGCGCGTGTGTATTTTTGTGTGTGGGTGTGTGCATGTGCGTGTGCGTGTTTGTGTGCGTGTGCGTGTGCTTGTGTGCGTGTGCGTGTGCGTGTGCGCGTGGGTGTGGGGGTGGGTGTGCGTGTGTTGTTTGTTTGTTTGTGTGTGTTTTGTGTCTTTGTGTGTGGTGCCAGGTTGGCCTGCTTTCTTTCTTGGGTGTGTTGGTGCGTTGGCGTTTTGGCGTGGTAATGTCGTGTTATTGGCGTGTGTGTCAGAAGTCAGTGTGTGTGTTTGTGCGTTTGTGAATGTGTGTGTGTGTGCGTGCGCGTGTGTGTCTGTGTGTGCGTTTGTTTGTCTGAAGGAGCTATGGGGCAGGTTGTCAACAGCTAATTGGGTTCGAAAATGCCCATTTGACAGACCTCTTCGCTGAAATTCAATCTGACAGGACCCTTCTGGTTGAAATTCAATCTGGCGGGAAATTTCTTTCGGGACAGTTTGTTTGAACATCAATGTCAAGCTGACGGGAACAATCAACCTGACAGGACCCTTTTGCGGGTTTGGAGTTGACACTGACTGACGTTTTGGTGGGTTGGTTCGCACTTCTTTTGGCAGGTCCCGAAGGATGCAGCAAAGGTCCCGAAGGATGCCGACGCGGTGTCTTGAATGCAGTGGCGCGATTTGCGTCTGAAAAGTGAGCAAACAGGGGAAAACACGATTTGGGGCTTCCCCCTGTCTTATAGTTGATGTTGATCGCGGACTTATCAACCTGGTGGGGTAATAGGACGGGATGGGACCCGAAAGCAGGGCCTGCGTACTGGGGGGTTGAAGATCCACTTTGGGATACAATCATTTGGTAGAATTGGGCGTGGGTTCAATTCTGAGACCATCAAAGTGGCGCAGGGCGATGCTGCGTCCAACTGTCGCTTGGCCAGTGAAGCAGACATGTCAGCACGCCAAGAACATAAAGAGGCAGCGCATAAAAGCTTCTCCACATTGACGCATCAAGGGAAGAACCTTGTCGTTCCTTTCGAATGGACTTTTGTGAAGTATGGCAGCTACGGTAGTACCTTGCCACCCACCTGGAGCCTGACTGTGCGTCATGGAAGAGCATGTTCCTCTGAAATGAAACCGTCTGGCGGGGTCAGTGTTTTCAGGGAGAGTATTTGCTGTGGATTAGTAGATAGTTTCTCAAAGTGCTAAGGATGCAATCTTCCAGACAAGTGTTCTTGTGGAGTCTCGAGCCCTCGGCCAGGTTCAAGCAATGAAATTGTCCTCACAACTTCCAAGGGAGTTGTTAAGTCTCGCCACTCTACGTACACCTCAAGCTAGGATATACCCTCAGAAGGCTGACCAGTCTGAGGCATTCGGCTAATAGGTGCTCAAACAAGCGTTGGCGCATGTGTCTCCATCGATTGAACCCTAGGGTTGTTTCACTTGTTTCGCCTAAGTGGTTTGGTGTCGTATTCATTCCTTCCAAACTGATGGTAAGAACACCGAGCGGCGCACACAACACACCCACCCCGGTCCCTCACACTACCCTTTAATGTTGCTCTAGAATGAAGGGCTGTTCACTTATTTTGAGGGTGCAGATGGCACAACTTTCTCATTTTGGTGTCATCGTACTTACCAAGCGGATTGTGCAATCTACTTTCACCCTGGTATACCACCAAATTATTACGGGCGTGCGTTCCTAAAGGACAAAAACACCGCCATCTCAAGCAAAAAACCAGACCGCTTGGTTTTTCCCCCTGGAGTCCCAGCCAAGACGCGTCGTCTCGAGCCAAGGCTCCCTTTGGAGAGCCGGACATGGAGCTGGACGCGGAGACCTTGGCACAGCGGGCGCTGCAGCAGAAGCGGCTGCCAGACTTCGCACCTGGACCGGTAGGTCGCAAGGGTTCGCCCGTTTTGGGGTTGGCGTTTAGGGAGAAACCCAAAGGAAACACTGATTTCGTGGGACCAAATCCTAAAAGCCCCAGGTTCCGACAGGTTACACGTGTTGAGGGTAAATCGGTGGAGAAACAGAATCTGAAAATTTGATGTTTGATGTACCCTGAGGTTCCGGCGAAAGCACGCCGCAAGGAATTGCCTAAAAAACACCCGTTTTGAAAGCAGACAGGCAGGCGAGTGCAAGTTTGGAATGATTGTAAAATTGGCAGCGGGTTGAACCCAGCTCTTGTTGAAACATGTTCATCTACTGTTGTTCAAACAACCTCTTTACTTGTTTGTCCATTGCATGGGCCTTGTTCAAGTGCTTTAAACAAGAAGCCCAGGTGATCAAGAATGACCAGATCTTTCAAATGGGGAGCACGCCCAAACAATGAAAAGGATGATTCAGCGGTTGGTAATTGCAATCAGTTGCACCCGCTCTTGCGATTGCAGAGTATTGGGAAAACTCCTTGACCAATTACTTCCATTTGGTCAAGAATATGTTTCCGCCCTGTTGGTTTTAAAGGCAATCTATCACTACTGGGAATATGTTTCTTTTTTCCAGGGGACGAACAAGCAACTGGACGATTATATGTTTGCTAATGACTCCTGTGAATCAAGACCTGCCAGACGGAGCTGATTGCGAGATCCCCGCCCCCTTCAAAATGAATTGGGGGCAGGGGGGTGACCCCTGGAGATCTCCATTTAGGGTACCCCATTTTCCCTTAAGACAGAGGAACTGGAAAATTGTGGCACCCCCCCGCCCCCTCCCCCTTAAGCTAGGGGGGATATGGGTGTGGCTCAAAATAAAACGATCGGAGGGGCAAACCGCAGGTTTTGAAGTCCATGTTTCCACTTACCGATCGGGCAACCCATTTTGGGAATTCCGGTTTTTTGGTAGCCGCAGCCATATTTCCCGAGAACCTGGCGAGGTGCGCTGCAGGAAGTGGCCCTACATCCTGACTCCAGCATGGGAGGCGCGCGCAACGCCGCAGGCTCTCGCGACGTGGCTGGCTCGGTGTGGTCGGCATTTCAAGCCCGAAGAAGACCGAGAAACAAAAATGCCCAGTTGTTGAGGGTGCTGACAAAGAAACACACTTGGTCTCCCCAAAAGGGAGGGCACAAAGGGGATCATGTTTGAAGCTTTCCAGGACTCAACTGCAGGAGACCCGCAACGCAAACCTTTAAGCAAAATATCCTTTTGAGAATCTCCCAAGTTGTCCAGGAAATCTTGGTTGCTGTTGACCCCTCTGCAAAAAGTGTCTAACTTTTTGGGGGTTTAGTGGAAACACCTTTATTCCCCAAAAAGTTAAAGTCTGAAGATCCAACGTCGAGAAATGGGCTCCATGTTGAGTGGGAAGAATCTGGTACAAGTGCACACTCCAGGTGTGGCTTCCTACTGCGGATGGAGGAAATCTATTTCGCACCACCTAGCAAACCCCAAAAGGATGGTTTCCCTGTAAATGCCATCCAACAACGGTTTCCCATGGTTTCCAAGTGGTGCAGGATTTCGTCCATCCACAGTATGGATGATTCATTTCAGGTGCTGCACCTATGCACAAAGCGGCGAACCCAACGTGAGCATTCCCATTCCCCCTAAGACCGACCCGTGGGCTGAGCCACGGAAGTCATATGGAGCAAAGGGCCGAGAATGAAACAGCTTCGAGAAAAGATCCGGAGGGGTTCCTTTTTGTTTGTGGGCCCCTCAAAGGAAACTGCCCTTTTAGTACATCCGATTCCTATTTGGACGTCTCGTTTTTCTTTCTTTAATTCTTCAAACAACATGTACCTATGTTTTTTTGGGGGGCGGGGGATAAGGGGAAGCCAAAAGGAAAAGAGAAAAGCACCGCTTTTGGAGGGTCCCCTGAAAAAATGACACCCATTTTAGAACCCATCATGGACGCTGGTGGCTTCGGCGCGGAGTTCTGCAGTCGAAACGCCAGGGTGAGCGCTGGTCTCGAATGCTGCAGGCGAATTGGCGTGGTTTCGCACCGTTGGGGTGGGTTTTTACTTGAAGACAAGCCACCCAGACAGTAGAAAACACAAGCCCATATATAGATATATGTGTACATATATATATATATATATATATATGTGAATATACCTTGTAAATGAATGGGGTCCATGGGGTGACAAGATGCCAGTAGGTAGAGCTAATGGTGCTATTAGGGGTACTTTCCAAGAGCTCCCTACTTGCATTGGTTGGTAGACATCATTTGTTTGCCACTTGAATTGAGTTCCCTTTAGTGAGGGTGATGTGAGTGAATGACAAATATAATTTTGGCAAGCCGGACAACTGGTTTGCTTCCCTTGTTGTTTGTTTCGCGGGCTTATACCTATATATATATATATATGTATGGTGCATCCCATGTTGAGCTTTTTGGTGGATCATTTTGGCATCTTTGGGTGCACTCAATGCCTGGGCAACGTCTTGGGGCAACGGCACCTGGGACATCGAGTTGCAAAAGCTGGCGATGTTCCAACATCGCCCTGAATCCAGAAAACCCACATGGGCTGAAAAAAAACAACCCCGCGCCTTTTCGTTATGTAAGGGGGCGTCCCTCAACTTGTTTTGCGGGCCAAAACCATTGTAAAATGAGATAGAGGAACAAAAAGGATACATGTCATGAAGTTTGTCCAGATTTGGGTGTGGCACATTCGGAAGAAATGCACCCGGGAAACAGGGAAACACAGTGGACCATCACCATGCGGCTCTCATGCCTGATTGACAGACCAATGCCAATGGTCGGGATTCAACCTAGGTTCATTCATCAGCTGCACCATTCGGGGATTGCACATGTTTTGGATTTTATGCGTGGTTGTCACCGGTCTTCACAGAGGCTGGGGGAGGGATGTGGGACATCCGGGTGTTAGCTTGCCACTTGCTGTGACTCCCAGGACCCCCTGAGGGAGGTCAAGCTCCATTTTTATTTGTGCCAAAATGAAGTTTCCTTCTGGTGTCCGTTTACACCACCGAGAAGGGCTTCTCTCAAAGCAGACACACCCATGTGCATTGGTGCCTCATTTTTTCCGATGCACCGGGCTTCAGAGGCTCTTTTTTTGTGATCAACAGGAGAGACGTTGGGATTCCGCAGAGGGCTTTGAGAACCCTTCTAAGAACTCCGAGGTTCTCCGACTCCCAGGCCTTTGTGCTCCATGGTTTTCAAGGGCAGTTGACAAGTACGTTTGGAGAGTTTTCTAATCTTAGGGCAATCCAGAGATTGTGGCTTGTTTCCCGGCGACGGGCCGCCCTTCTGAACTTCAAGGCTAGAATGGCGGGGGTTTTGTGGCGTTCTGCCCGTTTTGTATGGGGCGTACTCCTTTCTGTGTGTAGTTGGTGGGTTTGATTGGGCATGGTTGGCCAACCTGAGGGTTCAAGTGTTTCCTTCTTGAAACTCGTGAAAACCGAATTGGACCCACAAGATGCTTGGTTTTCCTGTTGCCTTTTTCACCCAGATACGTCGCTTTCCACTTTGGGAGTAGTATGTGGAGACATTCCGAAGGTTGAAACACATCACCTTTTGCAAAGTTTTTCACATCACCTTCTGCAGAAGCCATGGGAATCCCCAACCCCTGCACCACCTTTTGCAGAAGCCATGGCAACCCCAATTCCTCAAAATCCATGGACCTCTTTGTGGCACTGGGCGCCGGGTGTCGATGCGTCTTCGCTTCAGGACTTTGAGGCGAAGAGGCTGAGCGAAGACCAGCTGCTGGAGGAGGTGCTGCTGAAGCTCCGCAGGCGATTTCCGGAAAACCGGCGGTGGTCTGACAGGAAAGTGCTATTTCCCGGGTCACGGTACCAGGGCAAACGGCAAACCCGTGAAAAAGGCGGTTGAATACATCGTTTTGAGAAGCCCTGAGCTTCACCGGATTGTGTTCGCCTCACTGTGATAGATCAATATGTTTGCAACCCTCGTGGTAGGGTCCTACCGGCTCGTTTTTTTTGGGGGAAAGCCCCTTTCGGTTGGCTTCAACCGCAAACCAAAAGCGAAAACACTTGCCATTTTTTCTATTGATGGGTTTCGGATGTGGTCACGGGAGCTCGCGTGATGTGCGGATAGGTAAGAAAAGGCCAAATCGGGTGGTCAAGAAACATCTTGGCCGGGGCATGTTTTCTTTTTGATGTGGAATGGGACCAATTTGGGATCCCTGGTCGAGCATGACAATTCCAGCTTGTGTGGGGCCATCGTGTCTTTGGGGTCCGAACAAAAAGGTCGTTTTTATTAGACCAAACTAAATGGAATCTGCAAACATTGTGTTTGATGTACCCCAGAGTTGGGCAAAGAGTAGATGTCTTCAACAACTATGAGCTACAGCGTACGATGCAGTTCTCTTGGGGGCTTAGGGTTTGGGGGGGGGGGTTGGGTTTGGGGGGTTGAGGGTTTGGGCTGCTTCATCTTGATACTATGACTTTTCCCTGGTTGCGGGCGGCCCATTTTTGAACCGGAGGAATGTGCTATCAAGGAATCGAGTCCTCTTTCAATGATCACCTGCGTGGTTGGGTGGGAACCTGTAGCGCTAAAGGTGTCGATTTTAGGGCCTCCCTCAACCATGCTCGGAGGTAATCTAGCTGGATTTTTGAACCTTGGCCCAGTGGTTCTTTCAACTTGCGCCACTGTTCTCTTTTCATTTTGCCGGGCTCCCCGCCAAAAATTCGGGAGCGATCTTGAAAGCGCCAGGCAGGCTGCAGGAGAGAAGATCGCGAACTCCAGGCGAAAGGGGGCCGGTGAATTTAAGACTGGGTCCAGCTAGGTGCCCGACCTCTCACCGAGTTTTTTGGTGAGGGTTCCCCTACTAAAATAGACAAACCGAAAAAGAAAAAAAATCGGCTTGGCTGCTATTGAGTTGGATCTTTTTAGACTTTGACTTTTTGGGAAATCAAGGGATTTTCAACTAAACCAGAAAGTTATTCACTCTTTGCAGGTGGGTCGTTGCAGCAACCAAGTCTACTGGAGGACCTAGAGGCAAACCAAAGGGGCAAACCAATCATTTGCGGAGGGGTTCCCTGAGCCTTGAGCCGCACCCATTTTTTTGCCCGTTCCAAAAGGGAACCCAGGGGCTCATTGATTTGTTTCAATTGGTTGCCAGACCCTTTTTTAAACACGGGGCCTCTCCAAAATGGGTTTCGTTGTTTGTCGGTTTCCCTTCCAAAAGGGTGCCAGAACACAGAATAGCCAAACCCTGTTTCCTTCGGAGGAAGTCGCAAAGGAGGTGATTCAACAGTGGTTTCATTGTGTTTGTGCAAGTGTGTCAACCCTGCGCAGTGTTTGGGAGTGTCTCATTCATCCCAGCCAGATACTTGGAAAGGACACCAGTTGATTTTGCCATACCAGTCTTCTGTTAGGCCCAAGACCAATAACTGGCAAACACATATCTCAAGTATCCAACGAAGCAGTTTGGGGGCTGAAGTTGGGCTATTGAGGGGCAGCCTGTAGAACAGCCCAAGGCACTCGACGCTTGACTTTGCCTGTCCCCAGTAGTGCCCTTTTACCCCCTTTTTTGGGGAGGGTTTTTCTGCTAGAATACTACAGAAAAAAAGAGGTACCCTTATTCCAAACTCTCTGACCTAGGCTCTGTGGCTGCTTTGGGAAGTGGCAATCTGTTGTGGCACTCTTCGCACCAAGGGGTCTCCACACTGAGGATGTCAGCGTGACGTGACCTTCCTGTGGTTTCCCCTCAAAAGAAACCAGAAGGGATTACTGGGAAAAAGGAATGGGGGGGCACTTGTAGGCTTGCCAAAATGAGTGGCAACCATTTACAACCCTGCAGTTTCGCCTTTGTTTCAGCCTGAAAATGGATGACCCCGTTTTGGTCATTGCAAAGTTCTCAAGTGGATCCGACTTCAAAAGAAGCTTCCTCCACAAATGAGTGGATTAGGGAATTTAGCTGCCCCAAGTCCCGAACAAACTGGGTCTATGGCTTAACCCTATCCATCATTCCCTATCCATCATTGGACCGGTGTTGGATCTCCGTTGGGAAAGTTTGGACCTAAAAAAAGCCTTTTTGAGGTGCCATGATTGTTGGGGAACCTCATATTGTGGCATGTTTTGACCGTGTGCGGTTTGCTTTCATGCCTTCTACCCCACCCAAAAAAGCCATGGTTCCCTTTTCCTACCTTCGGGACCACTGAGCAACTGAGACGAGGCCAGCCGATGGCTATGATCTCTACTAGGGAACCACCTCGCAAGCGGTTGGGGTTCACATGGAGGCCCAATTGATGCAGAAAAAAGTGCTCAATTGCATTTTCGGAATTTTTTAGCGCTTTCTTCTGCCCGATCGAAGGCACAGTCTTGAAGACGGCTGGCCGGTTCTGTTTCCGAACCGCGTTTCCAGAAGGCGATTCGGTGCGGCTTCGGGGGGCGCACTTTCGCGCACGGGCGCAAATTCCTTGGGCAAGCAAAGGCAGTTTTAAGAACTGCATGCCCAAATTCTTGTCACTACACTGGCACCAAGTCGCTGGCTCCCAAAAACGATCTCGGGTGCATTTCTCTTGCCCAAGGGATTCTAGAGCAAACCTTTCTGTATCAAGGCCGGGATGAATCACGGCTCGCAGAGATGTCCGACAAAGGATCCCCGCCTCGAATCTCCACGGCGAAACGACTTTTTCTGGGACTACTTTTTGGGCCATTTTGGTGGGAAAATAGCAAGCTCCGGGACTTTTGTGGGCTCGATTTTGGGGAAAATGGCAAGCTCCGGGACTTTTTTGGGATCCACTCGACCTGGTTTTTCCCCCAGGCTCCAGCGGCAAAAGGCCGCCGAGGCCCAGGAGGCCGCGCGCCGGGCGGCCAAAGCGGCGCGGGTCTCGGAGCGGCCGCGGCCCAGGCCGCCGCAGGCGGACGGGGGTTTTTGTGGAGGCTCGGGGCCGTTTTCAGGTTGGTTTTTCAAGGGAAAGGCGCACAAACAGCATCCCCACCTCCTTGAAAATGGATTTGGGGGAGGGGGGTGGACCCTGGAGATCTCCATTTATGGTTGCATTTCACTTTTCTGGGGAAATGAGACAACTAGTTTTGGGGTCGGAGTTGTCAACATGACGGCTTTTGCTCGTTAAACCGCCTTCCCCTCCCCAGATTCACAGAAGGAACCCGAATGCACAAGTTCTGGGCTAGGCCCCTTCTATAGGAGATGCCTTCCAGCTGTTCAGTGGGCAAGTGGCTATGGGATCTATTAGCACCAAAGGCACCCCAATGCTGATAACTCCCAATGTGGGAAAATGTGAGTATTTGTCAAAACGGGCGGGGGGACTGCTCAATGTTTTTTTTCCCGTTTATGGTTTTCAATGAACGCACACTTTGGGTTTCCGAGATTTCCAAGTTGATCAGTACGTGGGTCTGGGGACCTACCATGGCTTGTGTGTCCTGCTGGTTTCCGTTCGCAGCCTAAAAGAGCGGGCATGCTCAAGAAATGCAGGGGTTCCCTGAAACCAGGCGCAATAGGAAACAGCAGCTGAGGGTGGTGGAGGGGGTAAGTTTGCGGGATTGGTGTTCCTCGCCCTTGTCATCATGAAGCCTCTCAACCCAGACTGCCCAAAACTGAGTGGCCACTCGGGTTCTGGGAAGTGGGTGGCACCTTGATCAACCCGTCGGCGGAGTCGGTTGAAGGGAATTGCCGGACAGGCTGCTGAAGCTTGATGCGGGTGTGGCACGGCAGGCGAAGATGAAGGATCACATCAAGATCATCAAGAGTGAAAAATCACTGACACGAAACGACTTGCTGTGGCAAGCACTGGTACATGTACTCTGCCAGATTCGGTATGAGATCGAGAATGTGAGGAACCACACAGTGGACGCAGGCAAAGGTGTCAGCAGCAGCATTTTGCCTGTGCACGTGCTGGGAGAGCTATACTGGGTAGCTGTTTTTCGGCACGGGCTTTTGGAGGCACCCTGAGTTTTCGAAATCTATCAAAGTCGGACCCCATCCACTCCTGGACCTTCCATTGTTACATAAATTTGTGTCACGAAAAACAGACTGCTCGGGCCAACTATTTTTGCCCAATGATCCAAACAGTGCTGGTTCCCCACAAACACTGGTTTCATGGACACAGGTTTCTTTCAAAATTGTTGTTAAATTATTGTTGCATGATTTGGGTTTGCACTCGTTTTGATGGGTGTGTGCGCCCGTTTTGCGGGTGTTTGCGCCCGTTTTGCTTGTATGTGCGTCCATGTTTATGTTTCCACATGTTTCCCCGCAACAAACTATAATATGAGAAGAGAGACGCCGCCGCAATAGCCAGAAGTGCGCGAGTCCAAAAAAATGCGCCCGTTCCCCCCCCCGATTGGACAATTTTCTGCTACGAAACACCCAAGGGACACTCGTTATATGTGACGAATGAAGGCCCAGGCTCTAAAGCCCAGGGAGGAGAGTTCCCGTTTCCATCCTGTTTGAAGAGTGGTTGACTCACTGACTTCCTGAGTTCATGGACTTTAAACTTTTTGGGAAGACCATTTTAGTGGTAAACATAAAGTTTGGAGGGTACTCCTTGACTCGGGTGAAGCGTTTGGCAGGCGCCGGGGTGCACCTGTGGCCGTCCCATCCACACTGAGAGGCCGATTCACCGGCGGTTCTCCCACATGGGGGTTCATGTGGGAGTATATTTTTTGGAGGTTTGCCTAGCCAACCCGAAAAGGGATAGAGGGTACCCAAAAAAATTGCATTAAAATAAGGGAACCCCTGAAAATGACTGGTTTCCTTTGATTTCCTGTTAAACCAACCCCCAAAAAGGGTTAACAAAAAGACACACTCATGTGTCTATGGGGTATGGGCATATGGAGAATACGGGTAACCAATTTTAGTCAATATATTATCCAGCCCTGGAGCAATGTTCTTGATCCCCTCCTCTAGTTTTGGTCTTTGGTCTTCCCCAACATTGTGCATGTGTGTGTGCGCGCTTGTGGGTGCTTTTGTGCGTGCGTGTGTGCGCCTGTGTGTGTGTGTGGGTGCGTGCGTGCGTGCGTGCGTGCGTGCGTGAGTGCGTGCGTGCGTGAGTGCGTGCGTGCGTGCGTGCGTGCGTGCGTGCGTGCGTGCGTGCGTGTGTGCGTGTGCGTGTGTTTGTGTGCGTGTGCGTGTGCGTGTGTGTGTGTGTGTGTGTTGTGCTTTGCGCCTCTTGCAAGTTTGAGGCAACCAACTGAGTGAGGCTCGTTGTTTGCGTTTTACATTTTCCCGAATAGCCTTTGTGGGTAAGTACCCGAAAGATCAAGCGAAGGGATCCCCGGTCGGGTGCCATGTTGCTGGGATACAGGGTGAACGTCACAAAGACTAGGTACAGTCCCGCTCTGCTATGCCATGCTGCTACCATGTGTGGAAGTATGCAGACATCTCTCAGGGGAATTAACGATGGCACAAGGCGGCGCTGAAGTTGTTGCTGGAAGTGGGCAAAAAGCAACGAATGTGCGTTGATGTCATTTGTTAGGCCAATTACGCAAACGTAGCTGTTTTTGTGTGCTGCGGGATGGTTGTTTCGTCGTGTCTCTGGCATGCAGGCTGCATTGTTCAAGCCGTGTCGGGTTTACATTGACATATCTGTGTATCGAACCAAAGCTGTCTAAGAATCGGTCTATAGGTGTATATACATGTATATATTATATACAAATATTTCTACATATGTATATCGAATCAAAGGTGCTCAGCTTTATGCGTTGGTCTTGGTTCGGCTTCCTTTCTCTCACAAAAGTTTGTCGACTTCCCAGGTGTCGGCTATTCCGGCCGCGGGTGCAGGAGACGTCAAAGGCTTGGCACTGGCTCGGCGTGGGCTTGGAAGAAATGGCTGGCGCCTTTTGGAGGGAATGGAAATGGATTTCTGGTCATATGTGTCCTTTTGTTTTAGGTTAGTTTGGTTGGACAATAGATGGGTTCTACTGGTTTAGCTGGGTGTTATAAGCCATTTGCCATGTATGTTTTCAATAGGTCGCCTAATTATGTTGGGTCCCATCCCAAAGCTGTGATCAGTGTCGCGGTTTGGTCCGTGCAACTTGGGCAGCGGAGTATGTTGCTTGCAACCAGAAACCGTGGCAAAACAAAATGTACTGTAACGTGGGAGGGTCAACACGGGGGTGTAGCTTTTTAGGGAAGCCCGCTTCTGTGTGGTTGGAAAGGGACACCATTAGGTTGCCAACCATATTTTGGAGGGTTCCATATCCCATTTTGAGATAAAACCTGTTTTCCCCCAGAAGTAGGGACCCTTGGTTGAAGACTGCCAAAACCGGAAGCAGCCGTGGGATGACCCGTTTAGAAATGCCGCTTTCTGCCTCATTTTGAGACGAACCGTGTACCATGACGGAAAGGGATAAAGGCAAACGCATATAGAGAGAAATGCACCCGGACCCTCAAACTATCCTTTCAAATGTGGATATTGCTCAAACTTGTAGGGTTATTCCAATGTTTACGGATAGTTTAAGGGTGCAGGGTTATACATTCTATAGTTGCTCATCGATGTATGTGAGGCAATTTGTGTAATGATGTCTCAGAAGGGGTTGCAAAACCGTGGCCGCCACCCAAAACAGGTGAACCATCAGTTGGCAGGTGGGTGCGACGTTTTTGAGAACACCCCTTTTGTGGTTTCAAATGGGAACCAAGAGGAGAACCACCACCCATTCTAGGTCCCCCAGTAGTGCCCTTTTACCCTTTTTTGGGGAAGGGTTTCCCTTCTAAAATAGTCAAAACCGAAAAAGTTGGTACAAACTTCTTCTAACCTCTCTACTGGAGGACCTAGCATGTTGGGGGCTGGCGTGGGCGTTGGATTCTTTCCATCCGTCGCTCTTGATGCAGGCGAAGGTTCCGAAGGCTTTGGAGAGGGAGCCAGGCGCTGGCGCCAGTCGATGTCGTCGGTGTTCCCTTTGGTTTCGGTGGCAAAGGAGGTGGCCTCAAAAGTCGCAGCTTGTTTCCTATTTGGATTTGTGTGTGTGTGTGTTTTTGGGGGGGTCCCCCCCAGAACATTGTGTTTGTTTTTTTCTGTTGGTTTCACTTCAACAAGCAACACGGGGGTTCCCTAAAAAAAGACACGCCCGACTTTAGACTGAGCAACTTTTTGAGAAATGATAATGTTTCCCACTAGACAGCAAGACGCCACACTTTTGGCACAGAGGGGTTGAGTCGTGGTTTGGCTTTCGGCTCGCCCAAAGCGAATCCAAAAGCCAACGTGGTGCTGAGGTTTGAACGTACTCAAAACCACCACTCGCAGATGGGTAAGTTTTAAATAGGGAACCCCAGCAATAGGTGTCCCTTTGATCTCCCTTGAAAAAATCAGAAAACTGGGTACCCCCCGAAACAAGCCACATCGACATATTTGGAATGACTAGATGGTGGAGGCAACCAGCATGTGCCATGGCCATGTACCCTGACCCTCTCCATCATTCTTTTTCGGTTGCCTTCTCAGGAGACAACCTTTCCAAAACTCGAACCTTTTCAGACCACTTCCCCAGACTTGGTTCCTCTTTTTTTTTTTTTTCTCGCTTTTTTGGGGTTCTCTTTGTTTTCCACCAACCATTTGTAAACCGACAAATCTCGCCAACCAGGTAAACAGACAAAAATCTGCTGGCCATGTCCGAATTCTAGCAAACAGAGCCTTCCAAAAGGCCCATGGCCGGTTTCTCCTCGGTGCTGTTTGCCACATGGAGTCTGGTTTCCCCGGAAAACTTATGCATTAGGTTTCTCTCTGCAGTCTGCTTTGGTCCCAAACCAGTTTTTATGGGACCTGGTTGAAGTTAGAACTTAGAACTTTAAAGGTTTGGACATGGCATGTCCACTAGTTGTGAAGAGCTGGAGGTGTTTCATGAGGTTAGATGTCGGGGATTCCTGAATGCAGATGGGCAAATTCTGGCACTTCTACGGCAGTTGGGACCATACAGTCCCCCTGATCTCTGTAGCCGCACCGACAACAAACATCACCCAAAAGAAGGCCTCATTCAGAACATATTTCCCAACGTTTTCCCGAAACAGGTACAGAAAAGAAGGGCCTCATCTCAGATCATTTTCCCGCAAAAGGTACAATACAGAAGGGTCTCATTTCATAGAACATATCCCAAGAAACCAGCAAGCCCCAAAATGGTGATGTTCAGATCACATCAAATCACCAAACACTGGGAATCGGCAAACATGTTTCGATCCCTTCCATGCAGTCTCTTTTTCTTTGAGGGCGGAGCTGGGCTGAGAAGGAGGCGACGGGCCGATGGGCGGGATTGAGCTTTTCGCGAAGTCGTGGATTCGAGCTTTTGGCGGGGGTGAGCTTCGGGTGTTTTCTCTTTTGTTGAATCACTCACCTCTTTAAAAACACAACTTTTCAACTTTTTGGGTAACATGGGCTATATGTCTGTAAAAGATGAGAACTTCCCCAGGTTGCTTGGAGTTTTAAGGGGTAAGATCAGGTACCCCTGAGTTGGTGGTTTGGATGCGGGTTGGGTTGGAGTTGAAACCCCGATGAGTCAAACCAAACCAGCAATGAAAAAACCGCCAATTGGAGGGAAGCTGATTCAAAAGTTCGCAATTTGGCCAGTTGTCTACCCAAATTTCGATCGGACGGTTTTTTTTTTGTGAAGCAGGCCATGACAATTCCCCACGTTTGGGTTTTGTTTTTTTTTGTACAAGGTCGGACGTAGCAACTGGGCACCCCGAACGGAGAATCCTCTATGGATGATGAATGAGTTCCTTCCATGAATCTGCAGGGGAGTAAAACCGATTTTCCAAAACCATCTTTTATGCTGCCAGGACCGAACAGAAACCAACCAGGGCAGGGATACCCTCTCAATTCTTGGGTTTATGGTGGTCAGCGTTGGATCAGGGTACGTTTAATGCTGGCTAAGGGTAAGCTTAGGGTAGGTTCAGGCTGGTTTAGGAATGGTTCAGTGTGGTTGGTTTAGGGTTTAGGCTTTGCTCAGGGTTTGTTAGGGTTATTTGTGACCATTTCGGGATTGTTTAGTGCAGGTTGTAGGAACTGTTTAGGGATCAGGGCTGGTTTAGGGTGAATTCAGGGTTGACTCAGAGTTCGTCTAGGGATACAAACGACAGCCGCAGGGGGAACACAAGCAGAACTGCTCCCATACTGTGGATGGACGAAACCCAATTCGCAACACCTAAGAAACCCTTGTTTCTGATGATTCCCCTGCAAATACCTTCAACCAATGGTTTCAACCATGGTTCTTTTGGTGGTGCGGAACGGATTCCGAAACCATCCATTGCCGCTTTCAGGGAGCCTCGGGCGCATGAGGAGGCCCTTAGAGGCAATCGGCACAAAGCAAGCAGAACACGGCTGCGGGTTCTTGGGACAGAAGCTGTCCATTGCAAAGGTCACCTAGGTCTCCCAGCTAGGTGCCCGACCTCTCACCCCTTTGGTTGGGAGGGTTCCCCTACTAAAATAGAGTCTAGGCCCCAGGACAGCCACGTGGATGGGAGAGAGGGACTGGGGCTCGGATTTGGGAGTTGCAGACTACTCTAGGGCCAGCACAGACTTTTGGGTCAGACTGGCATAGGACGGTGCGCGTCTCAAAAATAGACTAAAAGGGTACCCTTGTTCTAACCTGTCTACAGGAGGACCTAGTCACACTTCGTGCAATTTGCATGTTTGTTATGTGTGCCACCCAGCCAGCCAGCCAGCCAGCCCACCCACCCAGCCAGCCTCAAGAAAGCCTTTTGGTTTTCTTTCAATAAAGCCTCAACACGGTTGAGTTTGCTTGCTTGCTTGTTTGCCTGTTTTTGTTTGTTTGTGCGGTTTGTGCGGTTTGTGTTGTGTGTGTGGTTTGTGCGGATTGTTTGGATTGTTTGGTTTGCGTGGTTTGTGTCGTGTGCGTGGTTTGCTGGGTTTGCTTGGTTTTCTTGGTTTGCTTGTTTTCTTTTGGCTTGCTTGGTTTGTTCGGTTTATACAATTGGTTTGCTTGGTTTGTTTGGTTTGCTTGGTTTGTTTGGTTTAATTGGTTTGCTTGATTTGTTTGGTTTGTTTGTTTTTCTACGAAACCATCACAGGTGCTCTTTGGAGCACTCGGCCTTTGCGCGAGGTCTTCAAGCTGGAGCGTCATATCACGCAGCAGCCGCCCTGCATGCGTCGCATGCTTTGGAAGCGCGCCATGCTGAGGCCGGGGGCGCTAACGCGTTTGTCTGGGGAGGTTGGAGGGGCCATATTCAACCAGCGGAGGGTTCCATTTCTTGTCCTTCGTCATTTCTAAAAAAAAGGGGGGGACTTGCCTTCGCCGTGAAGCGGGGACCTTGGTCCACAAGGCCCCCAAACTTGCCAGACAGCTGTCCATGGGCTATTGAAGGGGCCGTTTTCACATCGAGAGAGTTGCCTACCTCTTAAAAACACAACTTTTCAACTTTTTGGGGGTAACATGGGCTATGTGTCTGTAAAAGATGAGAACTTCCCCAATCCTTGGAGTTTTAAGGGGTAAGGTTGGAATGTGTGTTTCGTTCTACTTGCAACATGTAGCATCCCTGGAACCTGGGACCTCAAAGTGCCAACAAAAACATTGGGATGGCATTTGACAGGAAGTGTATGAAGCTGCACCGTTTCCATCAAGCCTACCTCGACCCTCGCCATAATTTGGGGCGGGGGGGGGGGGGCAAGATCCCATTGGAAGCAACCCTCAAGATGGTTCGTTTCATGTTGGTCTTGTTCCCCGTAGGGTGCTTTGTTTGACACACTGCCATGATTTGATGGTTATGAATCTGAATGGGCATGCTCACCCCGTCTAGGATAGGAAAGACAAAATGTTGTTCTGATCTCCAAGCATCCTAAAGCTGCAGCTGTGCGCTACTATAGATGTGTATATATATATATACCCAAGCACGCGTATGTATTTGTTATGTTTGTGTCTCTGAATCTGAAGCCAAACAAAATATGGGGGGAGTGTCAATCTACAATACCTCAACCTAGGATTACAATGTGTCAATTGTTCAGTCCCTTGTGTTGCGAGCTTGAGGGCGCAACCAGGCAACAAATTTGTGACCAGCATAGCCTTCCCCTAAAAGGGAACCAGGCGCATGTGCAAACAATGGTGGTTGCACGCCCCAGCTCAGGTATCACCCGGACAAGCATCCCGAGTCGGACGGCGAACGCTTGTCAGAGGCAGGATGGATGAGAGGTAGCTTCGTGGTTTCCAGTCAGAGCCACGTGGATGGGCCAAATCGGATTCCCTCATCATTAATGTGGCTCTCCTCTTCGGCAGCTGCTGGAAAATCGGCGTGCGTTTTGTTGGGCCCCTTGGTGCCAAGACAGGATGTTGACACATGATAGCTGGTGGTTGAAGGGGAGCCAAGGAGCTGGGGGTATCCAAAAAATTGCCTATTTTCAGAGGCAGCTAAGGAATAGCAGGCGTTCTGTAAGGACCTGGTAGTGATGAGTTTGCCCACCCCCACGACTTTTAGGCAGGTCCCAGTTTTCAATTTATTGACCGAGGTGGGCAAACTAGGGATGAGGGATATCACTTCTCAAACCCTTGAGCTGCTATTAGTCACTTATCCCAGGTTGATGCATGGATCCCCCTAAAGCATCGTTCAATGATGTTGTCTTTGGAGGGAACTCTCTTTTCGTTGTCTTGAAAGGAAAAGCAAATGGACAACCTCCATTTTTGAGGGTCCCGCTCAAGACGACACCCTCCAAATGGATCCAGGGGTCCCATTTGTTGGACGGTGTTGAAGGGAAACTAAAGGGAAACTGAAAAGGAACCAACCACCAGGTCCCACATTTTGAGAAGCACCCAAATGGATTGCTGGCGATTTCGGTATGCTATGAGTGGAAGAATTGGGCTTTGTGAGGAAGATTGGTTGAGTTGGTTGCCGGCCTTTTGAACATCCTTTCGGCTTCTTCTATTTTAAGCCGCTTTTGCCTCGGCGATGCTGCAAAAAGAAGTTGCCCGGGAGGTTTTTGCTTGGTGAAAGTAGATCGCATCCCCTCGTTTAGGGTTTGGTCGTCCCATTTACTTCCAGGAGTTTGTGCGTACTTTCACCCTATACTGTAGCACAAGCGGCGGGTGCCTTTCGTTTCCAACCAAGAAACTGTCGAGGTCAACAGAAATTTGTCATGAAGGGAAAGCCCTGCTTGCGTAAGGCCAAACGATACCAAGGGACGGGGGATACCAAGAATGGTGGGTTTCTGTTTGGCTTCCCTTTGAAACAACCCAGAAAGGGTACCCTCAAAATACCCACTGGGCAACTGGGTTTTGAACGTTCTCAAAATTACGAAACCCATGTTGGACATGGAAAAGGATAGAGTCTCAAAAGGGGTCGATCCATTATTTTTGATCCCCCCCCCGCTTCACTGCGCTTGGGTCATGCGATGCTTACCTTACAGTATAGTTTGGTGTCAATTAACACGTGTGTCAGGTTCCGCTTTTCTTCCAGCAAGTGGGGTATGTCCCAACCAAGTCGAGGACGCGTCCCATATCCTCTGATTCTTTGTGGGCACTGCAAACCATCCTAGCCTTCAATATGCGGCTACACCCACGATGTCAACTAGATGTTCCCCATAGCTGGTTTGGAACATCACCTGCTGGAAAGGGGCTGTACGGGGGCAAGCTACTAGTAGCACGGTTTTGTGATGCTAGGAAACCTGGGAAGCCTCCCTTTAAATGGATGATTGTCCATTTGAAAAAGAAAAAACCTCCCCCCCCCGCTTTAAATGGACAATTGTCCATGTGGAAGGCATTCCATTGATATCACAGGAGTGGGGGTAAATGCCACATTCCTGATCCGCGGTATTTGCTGCACATTCTGTTGAACCGAGCCCGTGCCAGGTCTTCATCGAAGTAAAGCGGCGGTATGACAGCTACGTGAAAAGCCAGTGACCAGCGAAGAAAAGCCGCACGCGCGCCTGGAGCGACCTGGGTTCGTTTGGTTGTTGAGGAGACCTGCCGTTTGCGTTTGGGGTTGTTTCATGGGAAAAAGCGAAAGGAAGCCCAGTGTTGACCAAGGATCACATAGAAAACCTTGCGAATGGATGGGTGTTGTCCCCAAACGTGAAGCATCACTTAGTTATAAGAAAAGAACAGTTTTTCTTCTTGAGACCCCAACTTTGAGACAAGGATGTAACGAAGGAGAATCAGTTGCGCGCGTTAAGCCCATTTATGTTAGAACCGTGGCCATAGAAAGCCCTTTGGGCTTGGTGATTATTTGCGCGCAAGCCTGGAGCCCGCCAACAGTTTGATTCCATGGTGAGAGGGGTGAACTACCCCAATGGCTCTCCATCCAAAACTAGGATTCGATCGATTATGTTTCTGTGAGGTTTTAGTCTCCCGGGAAGTCTCGACAACTTCACCTGCAGAGACTTCCAATGTTTGTCTCACTCCCCAGGTTCCTGGACGTTAGACTTTTTGGGAAGGCAATTGTAGTGGGAAATAATAGGAAGAAAATAATTGGATCGAACACATTCTGGGTAAACACCTGTCATTAGTTGACTGGCACCTGAACGAAACCAATGTCGACTTGAGCTGTGAGGAACCTGAGAAAAGTAGAGGACACCGCAGGGGGATATATACCTGGAGCCTCAAAATCCTCCCCCCCCCCAAAAAAAAAAATAAAAGAAGAAGAAGAATAGAAAAACAGAAAAGAGACAAAGATAAACATGAGAACTCGCCCCATGACTTGGTGGGCGTCCCGAGTTTAAGTTTTTGAAGGTCCACCCCTATTTCGCCACATTTTGGCCAAGCGCGAGGGAACCATACGAACGGTCACCAGAGACATTCTAGGGCCCCGTTTTGGAGCCGAATCGGTGTGACACCAGGGATCTCAACCTTCAAATCCAAGTGTTTTGGTGAGTTGTCCTTCATTTTCCCTTGCAAGGACCAAACACTCAACCTTTTGCAGGCTGGATCCATTTGGCCTATGGCCCTCAGGTCAGCCTGAAGCCGAAGCTTCCTAAGACCGCTGCCACCCAAACCCGTCTGCAGTCTGTGTGTGCGCGTTCACGTGGTGTGTTTGGGACGTCAACCTACGGGGATTGGAGCTTTGTTCTTGCTGGTTCCTTGAAATGCCACATGACTAGTACATGACTCCGGCCCCGGTTTTTGAAGACCTGCGTCCAGGTCTTCATGCGGATCCTGCGCATCTTCAGAATGCAGGTGCGGGGTGTTGGCTCTGCGAGATCTCCTTTGGTTTCCCGAACGACAGACTCAAAGGGTACCCTCGGAAAAACCCCAAGAGGGGGGGTACAAAATGAGATGCCGATCCGATTGCGTTTGTGGCTCCACGTGAAGTTTGCTGGAGAGTAGTGATGGGCCTCCCATCTTTAAGCCCTGCCAAGGGAACCTCGGTCTTATTTTTTTCAGGGTCCCAGTTGTTACACCCTTCTTCCCGCAGGCTCAGGACCCAAACGGTCAACCGAAAACGGGGCTACCTTTGTCTGCCTGTTAGATTGCTAGCAATAGTGCAGCCTAAGTCATGCGGGCTCATATCTTTGGGGGGCGGCGATTCCTGGAGCCTAACCCCTTGAGGGCTTTTTGTGTAGATCGATAAACGTCCCCTCCCCCGGCCCTCGGAAAAGGTGCAAACTCCCAAACGGAGCCAGAGCCACTGCCCCAAGAACAACACCTACACCTGGCAACCTCAAGCTTTAATCCCAAAAGTTATGTAGGGTTTTGTTCAACCATTTGGGGTGATTCCAACCAGATTGTCCCAGCAGTACGGCGAAATAACTTTGCTGTCCATGAGCATGAAATGACCAGAGGGTCCTTTTTAACAGAAAGTCGTCTGCCATCATGGTGGAGCCCTAAATAAGCCCTAAACAAGGCCGTATTCAGGGCTTAATAAGTAGTGGAGGGCCACGCCTAGCAATAAATTGCTTTCATACATACACCCCCCCCTATATTTTTTTCATCTTCCATCTTCTACCCTTATTTGTTTTCATCATTTTTCTACATTCCTTTCTGTCCATCTCATCCGTTTTTTTTATCATCATTTTTCCAAAATTTTCGCCATCCTTTTCTCCTTCCTCCTCGCCTCATTCATTTCACCAACTACCCTTCAAAATGTCATTTCCTCAATCTCCTCACCTCATCCATTTCAAAAAAATAAATTTTGCAAAATATATTGCAAAAAATATTTGTCATCAAAAAAAATCGAACTGTCTAAAAACGATTTGTCCATTTCTCGGACAAAAAATTGAACAGCAACAACATCACTCCCTCCTTCGTTTCATCAGTTTCATCATATATTTTTTTAGGCGTGGTCGCATAGCTTGCGAGCTTTGCTAACGCTCGCGTGTCCCTTGTAGGATTTTATCTTCAATATATAAAACGCTATACTTACATTATAATTATAACATATAAGGGTATAAATGTTATTATTATAGTATGATTAATAATTATGGGTTACATTTATAGTCAGGAAAAATGTCTTCAAATATGTAATCTACATATTTATAAATATCGCCAATGTCTATATATTTGATATTGTCTTTTCCTATTATTGAATAAATATATTCCCAGAAAAACAAATTAACTAGTAGCCATACTTGATATTTAGTGTTGTAGTAAGACCATACATGATATTTAGTTATTCTAAATTCATTCAAGACCTCGTTTATTTTATCTTTACTTAATAAATGCCAATCAATCGCTTCAAACATGTCTCGAAATTTTTTAACGAATGCTTTATATGGTTTAATTGCGTTTGCCCCTCCAAACCTCTTAATTAAATCTTTATTATTAAAGAACTCATCAATTTCTTTTTCAAATGACTTTCTAGCAATTTTATGGTAAACACATACAGGAAATCGTTTTTGATATCTCATAAAGAATTTCAATTGCAATTGAAACTTTGTATATCCCTTATCCTTATGTTCTTCAACAAAAAACTTTTCAAGGTCTCTTGTTATACAGCATTGATTACAATATACATCATATTCACTTATTTTATTACATAGATTGGCGGGTAATAACTTATACAATGTTATATTAACATCATTCCTTTTAGTTGTACAACATTCGCACTTTGAATAATTAAATAACATTTCCACTGTAATATATATAGTGTTTATTTCTTTAAATACTTTTTTACAAGAAATACAATTACATATTGAAATATAATTATAACATATAATATTTTACATGTTATTATTATATTGTGATTATAATTTAAGTTCAGGATAATAATTTAATTGATACATCTTACCTCTTTCATACATCATTTTAAAAATAATATTAGTATCTCTCACTGTATTTTTAACATTAAACTTTTCACTTTCAATATGTGATTTAATGATTGTTTTTACATCAAACCCTTCTTTTCTTTGATACTCCAACATCCATAATATGTAGTCAATTATTTCATACTTTTTCTTACTGATTTTCATAAATGCTCTAACATAATCATAAGGTGGTATTTTATACACAGTTAAAAATATCAAAATGTCATCTTCAACATTTCTTTCATTAAACCTGTTAATATTCAAATTACATTCGATTGCTTCTTGGTAATATCTCCAATTTCTACAAATTTTACATAAATTTTCTTTACCCAAAGAATAATCAATAATATTATTAACTATTCCATTAGGTAAATTCAATTTATATAATTCCATGTTTTCTTTTTTAAAGTGGCAACAATCGTAGCATTTCTTATTGATATAATTATTGATTTCGGTTTCCACCATTTCTATTATAATATATATAGTTTTTATTTCTTTAAATACTTTTTTACAAGAAATAAAATTAAATATTGAAATATAATTATAACATATAACATTTTACATGTTATTATTATAGTATGATTATAATTTAAGTTCAGGATAATAAGTTAATTGATGATTATTAAATTGTGTAAATATCTTACGTTTGTCATGCATCAGTTCAAAAATAATATTAATAGTTTTCACGGTATTTTTCACATTAAACTTATTGCTTTCAATATATGATTTAATGTCTTCTTTTAAATCAGACCCCTCTCTTCTACGATGTAACAACATCCATAAAATGTGGTCAATCAGTTCATACCTTTTCTTACTGATTTTGAGAAATGCTCTAACATAACTATAAGGTGGTCTTCCATACACAGTTAAAAATATCAAAATTTCATATTCAACATTTCTATTACTTCTTCTTTCCAGATTTAAATGATATCTGATTAATTCTTGATTATTTCTCCATTCCTGACAAATTTTACATTCATCTTCTTCACTCAAAGCATAATCGATAATATGATTAACTATTCCATTAGGTAAATTCAATTTATATAATTCCATGTTTTCTTTCTTTAAGTGGCAACAGTCGTAGCATTTCTTATTGATATAATTATTGATTTCGGTTTCCACCATTTCTATTATAATATATAGTTTTTATTTCTTTAAATACTTTTTTCCAAGAAGTAAATTTATACCTTTAATAACTCATGTCTCAAAAATGCCCTGTCATAATTTTCAATATAATAATATTCCTGTCCTAACTTCTTTTCAATCTTTGCTATTTTGTAGGTTTGTTTAGTCCATACTCCTACTCTCTCCTTTTCATTCGGTCTGCTTTTCCTGAATATCTTAACTTCATTTCCTACATTTAAATCTGGATAAACTCTATTTCTTTTGGCTTTCATACCTAAATTTAAACTCACTTCTACTTGATGTTTAGGCTTTCTTGCTTCTGACGGTGTTAAGCCGTGCGAAGTGTGCTTTATTCCATTGTTATAAGTTAATAGAATCTCGTGTATGTAGTCTGTCCATTGAATAGCCTTTCCTTTTTTCTCATCGTTTTCAACCCTCTTATACAAGCTATCTTTAAACGTCCTTATCGCCCTCTCCGCGAATGCTGGGTGACCTCTGGTTCTGTGCAACTCTATTTTTTCACCCTTCAAGAAATCTATAACACTTTGATTGTTATAAGCTCCTTCGTCGTCAATATAAATTAGTTTGGGCTTTCCACCCATTTTTTTAATACATTCCATCAGTCCTGCTAAAATGTCCGCTGGCTGTTTTGACATAAGCGGGACAACAACCATATACTTAGAAAATATGTCAATACACATCATGCCAACTTTCATTTTTTGTTTAGGGATATCATTAATGAAAAATAAATCAATTTGAAACTCATAATATGCGTTAGGAGCTACAAATGAATTCTGCCCTCTCGGTTTAGCTTTCTGTTCTACATTCTTCCTAAAAAACTCATTAATATTGTTTATAGTTATTGTGTTATCCTTTTTTCTTGCTTCTTGTAAAGTGCGGTTCTTTGACCCGAAGCCTCCCTTATCATAATAAACATTATTAATAATATCTTGCTTAGATGCCATATAAAATAAGATAGATATTATTTGTCCCGGCGATTACAGTTTAAACAGTAAGATATACAGTTTTCCTTATGATGGGCATAATCGTTGTTTATTCTTTGGGCTGTCATATTGCTATTTATTACTCCATTATTTATTTCTATGTCAAAATCTGAACTGCATTTATTACATCTGGTATTAAGCCTGTCAAATAACCATTTGACATCAATATATTGTTTGTTGTCTATTTCTCTCTCTGCTTTCATGTCTTGTAATTTATACTGTTTAATTTTATGTTCTAAATATCTGGTTACTTGTGCTTCATTTAAATCAGTATCGTCTATGTCTGCTTTGAAAAACTTGACTTTATTGATATCTCTGCACCTTGTAATCGCTGTCCAAATCCACTCACGGCTGACCAAATGTGATTTATCCCATTCGTGTATAGTAATGCTTTTATCTAGAGAAGCCCCTTGAGACGAATGACATGTAGCACAATACGCATGTATAAAGTGCTTGTCTAAAGTCGTGGTGTTTGTCATGAATATAGTTTTACTTTTGATATCTTGGATTTCTACTTTCCAATCATCAATACTAAAAAAATTCATAAGTAATATTTACATTAAACACCTGCCCCATTTCTTTTTTATAAACTCTGCATATCACATGCTCTCCAATTTCATATTTATCTGTCTTTCCTAAATTATTTCTTACGGTCTTGCTTACCCATTTGCACCTAGCATTAGTATAGGCTAGGTTATGCTCTCCTTCCATGATGTCGCTTGTAGTTTCAAAATGTTTATTTACTATTTCCTTAATGGGCAGTTTATTTTTCCAAATGTCATTATATATATCATTCAATTTAATT